ATAGAACTAAAAAAGAACTTTATGTATAATAGAAAAAAATTCATTCATTATATTTTAATATAATATCAAGATAGTAACTAAATTTTTTTAATACTGATTATTATTATTATTATTTTATAATAATTATTAAAATTATATTTTTAAATAAACTTGTTTTAAGTTTGCTAACTTTTTTCAAATTTTAATAATATATCTTAAATTATTTGAATATCTTAAAAATCAACTATGTAAAATATTATCTCATTTTCGAAATTCTAAATTCTAATTTTGGAAAAATCAATGATTGTAATTGAATTTCTTATATGATTTATATGATATATATTTATTTTTTTGGCAATATCAATTTTTATATAAAAAAAAAAATTCAAAGAATTTCAAAATTTCTTAATATTTGGGTTTTAAAAATGAAAAAAAATCTAGTTAATTAAAAAATAAAAATTCTAAGATATCTATGATTTATATGATATATATATGATTATATGATATATATTATGAGAAATAATTAAGATTTTCTCATAATCTTCATCTTAACTTTTAGTTTAGAGATATTAAAGACATAATATTTTGAAAATAATTTGTGAGATGCAGATTTATATAAAATTCATAATATTTTGAATTTATCTCTGAAATAAATTTCATATGTTTTATAATGCTTTTTTATACATATTTTTTATATTTTCTATAAACTATAAAATTAGATTAAATTATAATTTCTTACATGTACAGTTGATGATTCCGTATTAGATATAGACAATGACTGCTCTGCATTTGATTGATCTATTTGTGATTGTTCTGGTTGTGGCTGTTCTTGTAGTTGCTGCTGTGATTGTATTTGCTGAGATTGTGACAAATGTTTTGTATGTGATGTATTAATTCCATGCCTACGTTTCATATGTTTATTATAGTTTGGCCAATTTGTGAAATGGTGTTGACATTCTAAGCAACTATATGGACGTTCACCAGTATGTTGTCTTCTATGTGTCTAAACATAAATTTTTAAATAATATTATTTTATGTTTTAAAAACAAATAATTTATTCAATAAACTCATTTATTGAATTAATTATTATTTATTATTAATAAATTAATATTAACTTACAGTTAATATTCCTTTAAAGCGAAAACATTTACCACAAAATTCACATGTAAATGGCATTGCACCAGTATGTATTCTATGGTGCTCTCTTAATGTACCTTTTTCTCTAAAAGTTCTTCCACATACAGCACACTGATGTGGTTTTGCTCCTGTATGAACTGTTTCATGTTTTTTTAATTGCAATGGCGTTTTAAAACTGAAAATTATATTAAATATAATTAAAACTAAGTAAATATATAATAAATTATTTTATTTTTTTTAGTAAACATACGCTTTTGAACATTGGGTACAATTATATGGTTTGTCTGCTGAATGAGTTAAGAAATGAGCTTCTAAATTTCCTTTTTGAATAAAACTTTTACCACATTGATCACATGTAAAATTTCTAACACCAGAATGGATGCGTTTATGTGTGACTAAATTTGGCTTTGTTGAAAATCTGAAAAACTTTCTTGATTATTTGCATATTTATACTTTATTTATAATCAAATATTATATAATATTATTAAATATTATTATTTTTAATAATTATATTGATTTTGAAATTGATAAAAATTCATTAAAAAATTATTAAAATAATTATTTTTTGTTATATTTTATAATTACCACAAAAATAAATAATATTAAAGGAACCATGTGTTGTAACTTAACTTTTTGAAAAAAATTTTTTGAAAAAAAATTAATTATTTAAGATTTAATTAGTTTCTAGAGTAACTTTATTTATTTATATTTATATTTCATTGCAATTTTTTCTTTAAAAAACAGGTAAATATATAATATATACAATTTGTTTATATAATGATTTATAATAAAGTTATAATATTTACAAAATATATGTATATATATGCATATAAGATTAAACAACTTTTTTTTCAAGATTTTTTTTTTGATATTTTAAGATAATTATTTCTTTTACAGAATTATTTTTAAATGCATTTTTATTAAAATTTATCAGACTTTATTAATATTTTAATTTTTTTTCATTCCTTCTTAATAAGAGTATTAATTTCAAATATTTTTTTTTTTGTATTATTTAATGCAGCAATTAAATATCTTTGCTTTATATTATTGACTTTTTCATCATCATGTAAAGATGATATCCTAAAATGTATAATATATATAATATGAAAATTCTTGTTAAAAATCACATTCATTTTTTTTATAAATTTTGTATAAACATTACATAAAATTATTACAATTTATTAATTATAAATTTATTAATTTATTAATTATAAATTATTATATAAAATTTATTTACCTGATTTTATTATTTACCTGATTTATTCGATGATATAGGATAAATCATATATAAAGTCATTTTCTTCAAAATCTACAAATATGCTTTTGCTTTCTTTTAAATTAAATAAAACAGGTTTTCATCATTTTAGTTATATAAATCTGAAAGAGAGAATTCCTAAAGGGACAATGAAATCTGCATTCATTTTTTAAAAATAAAATACCATATTAATTTTCTGTTATTTTTAATTGCAATTATCAAATTTAATATTAATAACATTTTAGTTAAGTTGTGAAACATGGTTCTTTTAATGCTTTTTATGCCTGTAATGAATAGAATAAAATATAGAGTGTCTTGAACTAAATATCTTTCTCTTTTTTTTTTGTTTTTAACAATACAAAAATAATGTAATTTAAATAATTGTAAAAGAAAAATATTGCAGAAAGAAAATTTTTTTAAAGTAATATTTTTATTATTTTTATAGAAATTGAAAAAATTGCCTAAAAATACATTTGCCTAAAATGATCTTTACATGATTTTAAATATTTGAAAAATGATCAATTAATATAATAGTTAATATGTATATTCATCCAATGATTTATGATTTTTTTATTTAATATAGCAAAACAGAAATAGAATGAGATAGTTTTATTTTTATTATACTATTACC